TATATATATATATAGCAAACACTTGACGCATTATGAAATAGAAACCACCTTGCCAATTCATGTCCATGCCACACAGCTGTGATGCATCCTATAGGGTGCGCGCCTGTTTCCTTTGCTATGCCTTCTGTTGGCAGTGAAAGCTGGCAGACGTGATTGAATACACAGCTAGCGCGGTTGCGACGAATGCGGACATGGCCCCGACGTCAATATTCGTAAAGACGTCATACGCAGTGTATGACAACAACAACAACAACAACAACAACAACAACAACAACAACAACAACAGCAACAACAACAATAACAACAATAACAACAACAGGAAGAAGAACAGAAACAGCAGCAGCAGCAACAACAACAAGAACAACGGAATCAGTAGCAGCAGCAGCACAAGCAGCAAGAACAGTAGCAGCGGGAGTATCGAAATCGTCGGCAGCGCACACGGCGCCACGTAATACACAGAACTACGCCGTCGGCTGTGCTAGATGCGATAACACAAACACTATAGGCGCTGAAACTCTATACATGCACATAGTGATGGCTTCGCGACCCTGACAGACCTTGTGAACCAAGCGAGAGACGCAGCAATATCGACACCACCACGTACCATGGTGGTCGCCACTGTCGTCCCTGCTGTCGTCGGCGCGCTGCTGCTGCTGCTGCTCGCCGTCGGCTGTCGCGCGTCGCGGCTGACGCACGTCTGTCCAACAGAGATGTCGGCAATCACGTGGGAGCTGCCGCCGTACGTCTATCGACACGCCTCCAACACGTCGCGCACAGGTGGCGTCGTCGTCGACATCGTTACTCGCGGCATGGCGACGTGCTGCGCGTCGTACAGCGACAACGCCAACCAGCAGGTGGCGCGCGGATCGCTGGAGGCCGACGCGCGTCGCGTCGCCATCGCGCTCAAGCAGGCGAACGCGTCCTTCGACCACTTCTCGTTGCCTGGCAACGGACCGCGCGTTCTCGCTGTGCGCTTCCACCGCGCGTACGACTTCGAGTCGGCCGTCATGGAATCACTCAACTTCACGTTCGCGATGCCGCTGTCGTCACGCGTTGCCGACAGCGTGCGCCGACTGCGACCAACAGCACTCTTCCTGCCGCTGGTGAAGTCGCCAGGCACGTTGTACATCGTACGGCGTCGCATCGAGCCTGTTGCGTCCGACATGATTAAGATCATCTGCGAGA